CTTCTCTCTCTCTCTCTCTCTCTCTCTCTCTGTCTCTCTCTCTCTCTCTCTATCTATCTATCTATCTATCTGCGAAAGCGGGAAGATTCATTACCGCTTTGCGTTTCCGAAGACGTTCGAGAAACACAAAGCGGGAATGAACCCATTCGTTTTCCTTTTTTTTTTTTTTTTTTTTTTTTTTTTTTTTTCCCGTTTTTTTGGTGCCTTTCAATCCAGCGTTCAGGATGCCTGCGCCCGGTAGTCCAAGCCTCGGGATGGATCGGCGTACCGGTTGGCCGAGGCTCGGACTCCATAAGTGGGCCAGGTACTGGTGGTTTAAGCGCTTCTGTCCATTGGTCAGTGAAACTGATGGACATAATGCATGCTTAATCCTGGCTAGAGGACTTATTCTCGGCCCTCAGTTTGTTTTCAGGATAAAGTTCCGATAAGCCCTTGTGAAATAAACATAAGAAAACAAAAAGGAAAGAAAAGAAATGAGAAAAAGTAATTTCAACCGGTGCATGATGCCGGTGATCTAGTAAATGATGAAAACTGACTGTAGTGATTGTACTGTCAACTCGTGATCGTTCAGCTTTGAAAATCAACTCTGATGCTTGGAGATAGATGCAGATATCAACATGGGCTGCTATTAGAAGAGGATAAGGTGTGGGCTAACTTTCCGTTTCTGAAAAGTGGACAGTAGGCTCTGCTGAGAAAGAACGTTTTCAAATTGGGAAAGTTTTCGGGAACAACATTTCCTGACATGGGCCGATGACCATCTGGCCATTCCTTCGTTTGCCCCTCACAGGGCCAGGGGTGCTCGTTCTCGGTGGAGTGAGGCGGCCTCTGAGGGAATGACAAAGTCATGCTACTACCCTCTTCTCCCGAACACATCTCACACCCTCACAATGACTGTATTGGACCAGAAAGAGAGCTTCTCCGCATTTAGGGTGAGGGTGAAGGTATACACATGTAGCTGTTGATGAACAGATCATGAGTTCAAATCCCTGCGAGGGCAGAATCAGATGGATACAATAGTGAGGGTGTGCGATGTCCGGGGGGGGATGATAGGCTGACTTGTCACAAAAGCAGAATGAGCAAGGACCATGGGGCTACTATCTTTCCCTGACCAGGGTGCTTTCCGGTCTGATACAATAATGATAAGGGCGTATTGTGCTCAGCGCAGGGCGCCACTACAAACTGGCCTTTGTAGTTGACATGCCATGTCCAGACGCGACTAGCCATCTTTTGTCATCATGATGACGAGTCAGTAGGCTACCCCGATTGCGAGTGCAGTACCTGTCCGGTACTCCATGGCCATAGTTGTTTTGACCCTGTTCATGCTCACCACCAATCTCGCAATGGATCATTTGGTTTTGTATTCATACCTACGTGGTACTGCACATCCCTAGTTTTCTTCTTGAATTTTTTTCTTTCCTCAGAAAGAGGGGCATCCTCTAATGAATCTGATTCCATCGGGTCTCGAACTTGTAACCTGTTTATCACCAACCATGTGGAGCATTCAGCCACATGGGCTGGGTACGGTCGTCATTGTTTTGACCACCCCCATGTGCCATCCGTCCCAATCGTGGATGAGTTCGTAGGTCTTTTACATACCGTGTACTGAATGGGCGTAGTTGGTTTGGCCCTGTCCATGTACGGTCAATCACACCGGGGTCAGTGCTAAGCCATGGATCAGTGCTAGTGATGGTTTAGGAAATTCTGGCTATCACAGTGAGACCTCGCGTGCTTCTACAACATAGAGCGCTTCGTTTCCCATTTTTTAAACTTTGGAGTTCCGGAAGAGGTTACATAACCGATGTTGCTGTCTTAGGGTTCCTTGGCCGTAACGAAGGGAAGTGTGTAGTGCGTATCTATTGTAAGGGACACTGGACCCGGTTTCCATCTTTTTATCGAATCCTTTGAAGTTTAAACCACCACTACCTTTCAGGCTGTGACGCAGAGTCTTTTTTAATTTTTTTTATTAAGGAGAAATGCTCCAGTCTATTCGTGGGCAGCAGCACGTACTGGGAACTGGGCCCAGCGTCCCATATAGAATTATACAAGTCATTTGAAATACCAGGGCCATTACCTGGCTTCGACTACGAACAATCGGAGAACTATTAAAGGAGTTTTAGGAAGACCTGGATAACTGCTGACCTATTGCTAGGCTACTCAAGCAGCAGTTACTAAGTCAAAAGGGAAAGCCACAGAAGTCCTTTGAATGCTCAGAACCCTGGAATCCCTAACAAAACCCTCTAAAATTCTCTAACATTGTCTTATTCCCTGCCGAGCTCTCCCAGGCCTCATAACCCCACCCTGCTAGGTTACAGGACAACACGACTCACCCCAGCTCAAAAGTAGTGTACTCCGTACTCTTTGGAGGCCAGCAGAGGCTGGGCGCTACCGGACCATAAAGGCGGGCAGCAGCAGGTAAAAAATTCTGTGCTGGAACTTCGGCACCCCATTGTTGCGCAGAGAAATTCAGGATCGGCAAAAAGACGACTGGAGGTAGAGGAGGTTTACAGAAGAAAAAAAAAAGAGAGAGTTGAGTGGTAAGGACATAGCGTACCCAAGCTTGGAAATCCCGAAAAGGCCAGCTGTGTCAGAATGTACCTTCAATACAGTCACCATCTGCCATGGTGCAGGGTATTTATCATCTGGAGGTCTGCACACAACAATTGCATTTTGAAAGGGCTTGTGTTAGGACCACCAGAGCTGCTCTCGCAAACTTTTCCCCAAAGTTATTAGTGGAAGATGTTCTTTGATCCAGAGTGAAGCAATGGTTGTTTTCTCAGACTTCCAACGAAGTTCCACCGAAGTTTTTTCTTCTTTGTTTTGAAAATCAGAATTTCTGAGCTGGTTGATCCAGGCTGGCCAATCTGCTCACACCATAAGATCAGGCTATGTGGGCATGCGGCTCTCCTGTGTTCTTTTCTTCCTACTGTGGACCGGTATGAAGAAGAATGTGATAAGGTATGTACACTGTGCGGTCTTGCGAAAGTATAGTACCGTAGTCTTCACTTGGTTTGGTAAAGACCATGGTAGGTCCATGTATTTTCAACGCAGACTGCTTACGGTATTGTGAAGTATAGTACTTTTGATTGGTTGTCAGAGGCGGTTGCCAAAGGTGGTCAGTGCTTGCAGCGGGCCTCTATCTGCCCTGGCCTACAGCCAGGGCCTATTCGGCTATTTGCCTGTTCGGCCTGTGGGACCAGGCCATGGCCTGACCCCACAGGCCGTGTACTGTTTCAGTCCAGTCCAGTCCTGCCCGGTACCACTGTCGGTACCAGGCCAGTCCAGTTCAGTCCAGTCAGTTCGCTGGGGGTATACCCCAGCTGCAGTCTGTATTCTGGTTGATTTTGCATTTGCACAGTTTGGAGTACGTGCGTGTTGAGTCTGCGTCGGAGCTGCGCTGTCCCTTCCAGCTCCATCTCCATCTCCTCCTTCCTCAACCCTCCGTGTTGATCCTGACGGAACGCCATCCCGGCTGGTCTGTCACACCGGTATCAGAGCGGAACAGTCCCCGCTCCAACCCGCCCTCCCTCCCGTAACAGAGGGAAATTGTTGTAATCCCGATAGCGGGATTTTCAGGGTTTTTTAGGGCAGAGATGACGAAAAAACAAAGAAGAAAAGCAGCAGCGTGGAGAGGCGGACACGTGGCGGAAAAGGAGACGGCAAGGCCAAGGCTGCTGCACACGCACGCGCGTGCGCCCACGCTGCCCCGCCCCGCTCCCGGATTATATATCATTAAGATTCGGGATGCTGCCGCTGCGAGGGTTTGAACCTGGGCAGCTGCTACTAATGCGCATGCGTGGCGAGTGCCTTAACACACTGGCCAAAGCCACAATGTGAGCTTATATCGTGGCTCGCTGGTGTTGAAGAAGTGCCACAACAGCTATTTTCCCCCTCTCCCCCCCCCTTCCCCCCCCTCCCCCCCCCATCCCCCCTTCCAGGTCGGCGAGGAGCATGCTGCAAGAAAACTATTTGCCCCCCTCCGGGTGGTCGTGGGTGCTGTCGCCTGCGCATGTGGCTGGTATCTGGTGTCTATCTGGAGTGCGACGTGGCATCTTGTTGTGGATCTTGAAGACCCCCTTGGCTAGGGGGCTGCACTAGAGTGACATCTAGGTGGCTGATCAAGATCTTAGCCCAACCTATACATATCTTTTTGTTGCAGTGACATGAGGCCAGCAGCCTCTTGAAGGTCTGTATCCTGTGGATCTTGGTAGTGCTCTGCTCTTGGCTACCCAAGAGCTTGGTATCACCATCCTACCCACTAACCTACTCTCCCCCAACCCCTTTTCTCTACCCCCCCGGTCATCTAATCATCCTTTCTAACCCTATCACTACTCTGTCCTCCTACCTCCCTCTTCACTCATCTTCCACAACCTTTTTTCTCTTCTCTCCTCCCCACTCACCATCTTTTACTTAACTCATCTACTCCTCTCCACCTTTTCCATATACTTCTCTCTCATTCTACCACCCTCCTCCCCCTCTTCCCCCCCAACTGCAACCCCATCATTCCCATCGTACTTGCTCAGGTGAGGCTCCTACTCTCGCGGATTTCACCGCGTTCCTCCATGACCGCTACGACACTCTCCACAATGCGACCGACGCCTTAGATCGGCTCACCCAGACGCAGTGGCGCGGGTCCTCCGCACCAGCCGATCCTTAGCGTCACATCAGAGTGTTTCAGGACGCCCGCCTCATTTGCGATGAGGCACTCCTACCCAAGGTCCTTTTGACCAACAAGTTCGTAATCAGTCTTCCGACTGACTACCGCATTGAGCTCTGGCGACAGAGCTTCGCCTTCTCAGAGCAGGCCTACGAGGCTGCTCGACAGTCCCAGAAGATGCGGAGTCCCTTCTCCGACGCCCCATCTTCTTCGCGATCCACCGCCGCCGCCACCCAGTCACGCGGTGCTACTCGCGATCGATCCTTCGGTCGATCCTTCTTCGTCGGCCGCTTTCGCCGACCAGCTCGACCTAGAGCGCCATTCTCTCGGCGCTACAGTTCTTTGGAGTGCAGCGAGGACGTTTCGGTCGAGCTTGACCCTACTCTTGGGGACACCCCCGAGGACATCGAGCTCCGAGACGTCATCCAGTATCACTTGGATGACGACACTGTCCCGGCGGCCGAGCGCCTGCAGATAGCCATATTCGCCATGGGTCGTGCGCGTAGTCGGGTTGCACAGGATGGCGCCCGCACGTTCACGGTTCCTCAGGTAGACCTCCCGCATAGTTTTGTCCCTCCTCGCGGAGCTCTATCCCTTGAGGAGCGAGCCGTCCTCGAGGTCCGTCGCGGCTGCCTTCGTTGTCGCCAGGATGGACACACCTCCTCGCGGTGTCCATACCATGTTGCCCTCTCGTGTCCACCATTAGACACCCTACCGACTCTCGATTCCAAGGGCGACGAAACTCAAGCGTCATCTTGAGGAGCTCCTTAGATTGGGTTTCATTAAACCCAGTAACTCCCCTTGGGGTGCACCCGTCCTCTTTGCTAGCAAAGCGGACAAAACTCTTCGCCTCTGCATTGACTACCGTGGCCTTAACCGTTAGACGATTAAGACACATCTCCCATGCATCGTGTGGATGAGTTGTTTGACCGTCTGGCAGGCAACCGCTTCTTCACGAAGATCGATCTTCGTAGCGGTTACCACCAGATCCGCGTAGCCATAGAGCACCAACCGAATACCGCCTTTCGGTCGCGCTTCGGTCACTACGAGTTCACAGTGATGCCATTCGGCCTCACCAATGCACCCACCACCTTCCAGATGACGATGAACGACATCTTCAGGGACATCCTCGAAGAATACGTTCTCGTATACCTAGACGACAACCTGGTCTACAGTCGTACCTTAGAAGACCATCTCAGACACCTCCGCGGTGTCCTACAGTGCTTACGCAAGCATGACTTCTATGCCAAGCTTAGTAAGTGCCGCTTTGCCCAGAGCAAAGTGGACTCCTAGGACACCATGTGTCTGACCAGGGTCTCCACATGGACGACGCGAAGATCATTGCTATTGCAGAGTGGCCCGTCCTCACATCTGCCAAGCAACTTCATAGTTTTCTAGGCCTCACTAGTTACTATAGTAATTTCATTTGGGGATACGCTAGGTATTCCTACGTCCTTACCTCCACCCTCCTCCGGAAGAACTCGCCATGGTTTTGGACACCCCTCTTCGAGGATGCTTTTCGCGCCCTCAAGAAGGTGGTGACTTGTGCGCCGGTTCTTCGCCTCCCCGATTTTGATTGCCCCTTCATCGTCACTATTGATGCGTCAGATTTTGCAGTAGGAGCAGTAATTTCTCAGATGTTTCCCTCTCCTCCCAATTCACCTTATCCTCACGTTCCTCCTTCCCTCCTCCCCCCCCCCCCCCCCCCCCCCCCCCCCCCCCCCCTGCTGACACTGCTTCTCGACTGACGCCTTCCCTCCCACCACTTCCTTCTGTTGACAGTCTTCCCGTTACTTACTCCCCGACCATAGTGGAGGATGGGACTGTCGAGGCTCGTGCTGGGGATTGCCCGATCGCCTTCTACTCCCGTCAGCTACTGCCTGTCGAGATAAACTACACTGTCGATGTACGTGAGGTTCTCGCAGTAGCTTACGCTACCCGGCATTGGCGTCATTATTTGCACGGGGCGCCCTTCACGGTGCGCACGGACGACTCAGTTGTCTAGGCTTTCCCCTCGTCAGGCACGTTGGTGGCGTGATTTATCCGAGTTCACTTTCACCACTCAGCCCATCAAGGGTGAAACGAATCGCGTAGTCGATGCCTTGTCTCGCCGTCCTGATCACAATCAGGAAGCCATCCACCTTGCTGCCATTTCCATCCCCACTGTTGATCAATCGGTGATCGATGCATATCGCACTCAGTACCGCCACTGCCCGGATTATCGCGTCGTCCATGCGACACTGCGGAGTGGCAAGACCGTTCCCTCATACTCACTCGGTGAGAACGGTCTCATGTACTGGCATGGCAGATCTGGTCAGTTAGAACCACGTATCTGCATTCCCTCCATCGGACAGCTTCGTGTTCAGGCTGTAACGAAATTCCATGACCAGGCGGCTGCTGGTCATATGGGCTTCCGTAAGACGTTGGCTCGTGTTTGCCGCCTATACGTCTGGCTGAAGTCCAAGGACTTCGTCAAAGCCTACATTCAGGAGTGTCCTACCTGCCAGGAGATGAACAATGTGAACCACCTTCCATATGGGTTACTTCAGCCCCTACCCATATCCGAGGGTCGTTGGCAGTCCATCTGGATGCTATCTTGGTCGTTGTCGAGCGCTTCACGAAGCTTGCACATTTTGTCTCGTGCCGCTATGGCATTAACGCTCATGAGGTTGCCGACATCGTCTTCGACCAAGTCGTGAGAGATCACAACTTACCTCAGAGCATCATCTCTAACCGTGACATGCGCGTTACCAACACATTCTAGCGACGCCTACAGGAGGTGTACGGATCTCATCTCCGCTTTGCGTCGTCCTACCACCCTCAAACGGATGGTCAGACTGAGGTCACCAATAAAACTCTCGGTAATATCCTCCGAAAGTTTATTAGGGATGACCAACAGTGGGACTTACACATAGCCCACGCGGAGATTGCATACAACCACGCCGTTTCGCCAACCACGGGGATGTCACCATTCTATTGTGACCTCGACTACCACCCTCGCATACCCACGGATTTCCTACGACCGTCGCGGTTGCCCCCAGACACTCGTTGTCCTGCGCTTAACGCATGGATCGCCCACATGGTAGCGATTATGAAGCATGCACACAAGAGTCTAGCTGACTCCCAGACTCGCATGGTCGCACGAGCGAGCCGATCAGGAATGGATCATCCATTCAAAGTCGGTGACGATGTGCTCGTCTATGCACGCCACTTGCAACTCGAAGCGGATAAGTTTTGCAAGTTCAGGCGTCGCTTCTTCGGTCCATGCCGCATCCTTCAGGCCGTCGGTTCTGATACTGCCGCGAGTCCGGTCAGCTTTCGTTTGAAGCTACCTCATTACCGTCGACAGGCTCGGGTACACGATGTTTACCACGTCTCCTTGTTGCATCCTTATCGCAGACCGTTTGAGCGCTTCGCCGAACGCCCTTATGAGCGCTCTCCACCTATCATGGTGGACGGTCACGAGGAGTTCGTCGCTTACGGCATTGTATCTCTCCGAGTTACCAACGATCCCCTCCACGCATCGAGTACCTTGTGCGTTGGAAGGGCTATCCTGATGAGGAGGCTACTTGGCAGCCCCTCGAGCACTTGGACCATTCCCGAATGTTGGTGCGTGCATATGACCGTGCTCATCGTGCTGAGACATCTGCTCCTACTCAGCCGACTGACCCTCTTCCTCCTCCTCCAGCTAAGGAGATTGCTGAGGACGAGCCCTCTCCCTCTGAGGCCGTTCTTCGGCAGCAGATAGAGGTCTATGCGCGTCCACAGTGCACTCGTCGACGCCCTCGGCGTCTGGACAATTGACACTTTGATCACCTACTATCTCCCTACTGACTCACACCATCAGGTACTCCATCATCAACTTCTTAAGGATGTCAACGTTTTGCGGCTCTGCTTCGACATCGACTCGACTCCTACTTCATTGGCGTCATCGACCACTTCGACGACTTCAGCTACCTTATCGGCTTCATCTACTTTGGACGTGACTACTTCACGCCACCATCCTACCCTGTACATTCCCTTGCATGTGTAGCACGATGGTTCTCACTTAGCTTAGTCTCTTTGAGTTGGGATCTCCCTTGGTATTGGATAGGCATTGGGACCGTAGTGTTATCTTGGCTTCCCTGCTCCCAGATCTAGCTCCCTCCCCCAGTCGGTGAGTTGTGTGCATGTTTCCCACACCCACTGCCCTCATCACCCTAGTGTCGGCTATTGCATACCTTTAGTTAGGCATATCTCCACCCTATTCCAGGCTCCTTTTTTCATGGTCGACCCTGCATGGTGTCACCCTTTTGTAGAGCATCAACCGCCTTGATGGTCTATCTGTTAGGGTCATTGGTTTTGTTTCGCTACCCTTCCCTCACCTTGAGCTTGATGACCTATCCCTCCTTCATGTGTGACTTCCCTTATGAGTTTCGATTTGTAGGCTGCATTCACCCCCTCTGAGACCATCCCACTCTTAGTGGTGCAGCGACACGACATTACCTTGTGACATATTGCTATATTTTCCTTTCAGCTCTGAGGCAATTGCCTCCAGGACTTTAGGATTGTACCATGCTACATTTCATTTTTATGCTATTAGTTAGGATGTGGATATCAAACATTTCCTTTTCTTTATGACATTATGTAGCTTAGGCTGCATCGCATTGACTCCGCATGGAGCTTGCTCCACATCCTAGATTTCTTACCTTTCCTTGTTGCAAAGTTTCGCTGCTTTTGCGAATAGCATGTCTATGGCTCTTGCAATCCATTATAGGTCTGAGGATCGTGCAGCGGGCCTTTATATGCCTTCGCCTACACCCAGGGCCTTTTCGGCTATTCGCCTGTTCGGCCTGTGGGACCAGGCCATGGCCTAACCCCACAGGCCATGTACTGTTTTAGTCCAGTCCAGTCTTGCCCAGTACCATTGTCGGCACCAGTCCAGTCCAGTCGGTTTGCTGGGGGTATACCCCAACTGCAGTCTGTATTTTGGTTCATTCTGCATTTGCGCAGTTTGGAGTATGTGCGTGTTGAGTCTGCGTTGGAGCTGCGCTGTCCCTTCCAACTCCATCTCCATCTCCTCTGTTTTAGTCCAGTCCAGTCTTGCCCGGTACCACTGTCGATACCAGTCCAGTTTAGTCCAGTCGGTTCGTTGGGGGTATACCCCAGTTGCAGTCTGTATTTTGGTTCATTCTGCATTTGCGCAGTTTGGAGTACGTGCGTGTTGAGTCTGCGTCGGAGCTGCGCTGTCCCTTCCAGCTCCATCTCCGTCTCCTCCTTCCTCAACCTTCCGTGTTGATCTTGACGGACCGCCATCCCGGCGGGTCCGTCACGGTGCTTAAGATAAGTCAATTGAAATGAGCCAAGTACTCGTCAAGTTCAACCTCACATCATCAATGAACATTTACATGAGAGTTCACATGTGAGAAGCCAAATCAAGATACAATCAACACTTGAAGATGTCGTCTCCAATATTATTATCAATATTCAAGAATGTTTGTCGCCAACGGCGCACACACGCAACGGATCTCAACCAGATAGCGGCTATGACTTCTCCCCTCTTCTCTCTCTCTCTCTGACTTGACTCGCTCTGCGACACTCTCTCTTGTCTCTCTCTCTCTCTACCTTGGATCGTTACCCTGGATACACCCACTCAGGCATGTTACACCTTGGTGGCTATGGCCGCCGTCCTCCTGCTCTACGTCTACCCTAGCTATGGAGTATCTAACAGGTGCCCTCTCCTTCTTCAGGCACGCAACGCCCAAGTTGACTCAAGGCACAAGCAGCAACGCTTCCACATCTCGCAACTGGACAAGTGATGAGCCGTTGCACTGTAGCAGCTAAATATAGGACTTGGCTTTGC